TTTTTCACTAGCTTACTTACCATTATTAGCTTTTCTGATTTCACTATAAAGTGTTTCAGTCCCCTTCTGTACAGGAGCTGGAAAATGTATTGGCACAGAATCAATTTATTTTCTTTTTTTCTTTCTTATTTTTTCTTATTATTTGTCTTATGAAAAGCTCCTTAAACCAACAGAACACACTGTTTTACTTTCAGGGGAAGTAAGTTACACAAGCAGCAATGAGCCTGTGGAATCTGTGTGAAAAAGCAAGTACACTCCCTCCCCAAACCCAGCCTGCAAGGAACTGAGAGGGAGATGTCTCTCCCTCTATATAAAAGTGATGATAAAAATCTGCTTCCCCTTCTAAATTTAACATTTTAATAATCTCCTTTGAACTCAAATCGATACAGCTTTAATTTTACAGAGACATCTACCACTAGAGAACAGTTTCCCTGGATCCCTTTGAAGAGCTGCTTCAAGTTTTTCCAAGGATTTCAGGATCCAAGACCTGAGGTGATCTGTCATTTGGAAGATGAACTACACCTCCTTTTTGGCAACTAGCCTGATTAAGTCTTATGGGCACAAAAAAAAAAAACAACTAAATTGCTGTTTGTGAAATGTCTCAGAAGGGTATTTTCAGATTTCACACTGCACAGCTTCTATTTAAGGTTATCTGGGAAAGGTCTCCCCTCAGCATGGAGGGCTCTTCCACCAGAGCACTGAGATCAGATGGACACAGCAGGAATGAAGGCTCACAAGGCTGGTGGAAAGAATGGAAGTAAAGACAAAAAGGAGACAGAGAAGGTTTGTGCCTCTAAGGACACAGCTGGGGTACAAGTGCAATGTTAGTCTTTCCAGACCCTTGGGTTGACAAATAAAACTCTGCTCTTGGGTGAGAAGGAAAGCAAGAAGCTCTCTTTTTTTTCCTGACATCTGTGAGAACTTATCCACAGGGTTTGATACCAAACTAGAGACACACAGGGAAGGGGCAGAGGCCCTGAAGGCCTGAAAACAGCAAGAGCTCAGTTTCTCTCTGGTCAGCAGAAACTGCAGGCGAGCAGGAGATTAGAACAATTTCCTGGATTTATTGCATGGCTGTAGTTTAAAAATCCCTGGGCAACAAAAGTGCATTTAAAACCAACTTTCTTCATTTTCTATAAAGGCCTATGCTGGCAGGGACCAGTAGCTTGCTGTTCATAGATCTAAAAGTGTTTCAGAAACACTCATTCATTTCAGTTAAACTGAATCTCTTAGAAAGCCTCTGAATTCTATCTATATCACCTCCAATTTCTGTGGACCTTCAACAAACCAAGAGGTTAGATTTTTTTCCAGTTAAAGAAAAACAAAAGCGGTTGTTCTCTCTCTGCAAGAAACTGGAAAGAAAATTCACATTTCTGGACAGAGAATCCTGTACTTCAGCTATTAAAAAACACCCCAGCACTTAAAGAATTCAGATAATGACCTGCAGTCAGTCAGGACTGTTACTGTTCTGCATCGCTCTGAAGAACCCAAGTGTCTCTGGCACCACATTCTGATTTCCCAAAGCTAATTTCATTTTTTGTAAAATTCTGTTCAGCATCCTTTAAACGCTGGGAGCTCACACATCAGAGTTGAGTTGCAAAGCTTCTGTTAATTCAAATGCCAGGAGGAGTTACACTTCCCCAAGTGTTTAATCACAGCTTTCAAACTCACAGCTTTGGCAAGAACCTTCTTTGCAAAATAATCTGAAGACCTTCAGGCACATTTCATCTGCTTATGGGCTACTGCTTAAATGATCAGTTCATTTGCAGTGAAGTAAGGAGTAATCTTGTCAGAATTTTAATAAGAGGTATTTAATTTTGTTTGGGACTCTTTTTTAGCAGATTACAGTCCTAAATCTACCCCTATTGACTCTGTGGAAAGATTTGGTTGGAGGTATTTCCTTAGCTTGCTTTTTTTTTCCCAGACCCATTTAATTGAATTGTGATATAATGCCACTGCCCATGTTATTTCCTTTGTTAATCTTCCAAAAGTCGTCTCAGCACTGAAAAAATGTGCCAGGAGAAATTACTTGGACGATTTGACATTTTGTTCCCACCAGCTTTATAATGTTGCCACCCTGCAGATAACTAACCAGATATAAAAGTAAAAGAAGGAGCGTGTTCTAACTCAGCCATGATTAGAGGTTTCTCCCTTCTCACTTCAGGGATATTTCCTAACCTTACTTTAGCCCCAGCCTTTGTTTTTGCTCAGATTAATAATAAGGGGTCTAAATCACCTTTCCATCTATTTGCACAATTAAGCTTTAGAGAAGACAAGCACCATATTTTTGTCAAGCATATAATCTCCATAAGTATTCAATGTAATCATTCCTCAGAATTACCACCTCTATAAATATCAAATTACCATTCCACTCTGGCTATCCCAAATAAGAGCTGGACTGTGTAGCCCCAGCTCTACCTCCTATTTCTCTTGCCTTTTCACCCCTACTTCAAAAAGCAGGTATCAAGTTCTTCCCACATGGAAGTTCTAAAATAAAGCAGTGAAATTTTACTTCTAGCACGTGACAGGACCGCTCCCTGCCAGTAACACTGTAATGAACCCTGGTTTTTGATCCTGCAGAAGCACAGTGCATATGAAGTTCTTGGTGCATTAACCTATTCACCATTACACTGTGTTAAAAAGTATTCCAGAATATGCACTGCTAGTGCAGACATGACTGGAAAAACAGGGTGAAACCAGTGGTTTCAAATGTAAGCAATTCTCTACTGACAAAGACAAGATATACATCCTTCTACAATAATTTAAACTTGTTTTGAAGTGACATTCAATCGTTCCTGCTTCCCAAAAGTGATATAAAGGCTGGAGTTAGAGCTTAGATACTGCAACATTAATTGCAGTAGTCTTTCACAATACACAAAATATGATTCTCCTGCTCCTGAGATGAACATTAGTACTGACATGGACAACAGTGGCAGGAGGAACAAACGATTGGGAAGATAAATTAATTTGAGGTTAGTCCTGAGAGATCAAAGAAATCTGGAGTTCCTCAAAAGGCTGAAGGGATCAGATGCTCTGTGCAGCTGCTGGAGGAGATATGTGTGCCCAGAGAAAAGGTGTGATTTGCTTTGTCTTCATTCAGAAAATAGGAGGAACCAAAAGGGGTGTAACAGAGGTTTGGAGCAAGGGGATAATCTGAAAGGTCTGTTCCCTAGGAAGGGCTGGTCATACCCACAGACAGACATGAAAGAATATTATGCTTTGAAACAAAACTTTACAATAACACCAACATAGCAGAAATATCAGTGGCAGTCCCGTGGCCAAATTCTCTCTGTGGGTGTACACGATTATTACAAGGGAATATTAAGAAACTTGGCTTTGTTTCTCTTTTCCCAAGAATAAATCTCATCCTGTTTTCATTGTGATAGGCAGTGCAGAGCTGAAAGGATTAACATGGCTTCATACAGCTCCTTCTATTCAAGCAGCATCCTCGAGATGCTCTCAAAGATTAACACATTAAATACTTGCAGTGCAGTTGCCATTTACATAACCAAAGCATTCATTTGGGAAGCGTTTAACTGTGCCCTGGGGCAACAAAGCAAATCGATTAGGGAACTATTATCACATCTCTGTATACCTGAAGCACGGTTCAGTCTTACAGAATCAATCAGTGTTCTGCTAAAATAATCTGATCTCATTTACACGGTATATTAAATATTATTTTGTGGTTTAATAGTGTTCAGTCTACAGAGCACAGATACTATCTTATTACTCAGTCTGATATACAGGAATAGTGTTATATATAAATAATGGGAGCAAAAGTCTACTCTTGGAGATGCTGATCTTGCATTTAACAGGGCTTTTAATTTAAATAATCATGCACCATCGTATCTTCCCATTCTACACCACTGTATTGTGTAGTGCACACTCAAACACAGTTGGAACAACTAATTATTAGCCCTATTCTGAAAAAGAGTCCAACAACTATGGTTCTTCAGAGCAGAATTTAGCAGAGGTGGATAAATAGCATGCTTAGGACACAAGGAAAACTCTGTGATGAATGATGCCAGGAAGTGAGAGAAAGGAGAGGAGGACTGGCTGTTTGGGGACAGCTTGAAGGGTGAGCACTTTTGCCCAAACATCTGTTTTACCAACTAAACAATCATGTCTTTGGTCCCTGAAATCAGTGACTAGTCCTTCCTACCAGGAAAAAGGAAATTCATCTGTTTCTTCCTCAGTCTGCTTCTCGTTCAGCTGAAGCAAAGAAGCTGGAGCAGAGCATAAACCTGTCTCGTGGGGCTTATTCCCTCCCAGCTACTTGGAACTTCGAGGTTTAACAGCTTTCAACACAAGGCCATGACGGTATCAGAGTTCTCCAGATGACACAGAATGATTGCAGTGTGCATTTGGGTGTTGGGAATAAATTTACTTGGATATTTCTCCTTCAAGGTTGCAGAGACATGTACCTGAGGTGTGGTTACTGTAACCACACAACTGCAGGGAGGATGACCAAGTTATTTGGGCATTAATATCCTCATTTCTCTGTTTAAGGGGACACAAAATTCAGGATGGTCTCCAGGCCTCTCCAGACTGAGAGACTAAATCTGTGCTGGACTCTCTTCCTTCTCTATCACAAGTGAATCACAGCTTTGACCCTTCAACCAGTTCCTTTATAAAGGAGGAAATTCCACTGCTCTCTGTTCTCTCCATTATCTGGGGCTAACCTCACTTGGCTCTCAGGGAACCTGGGCTCTATAACAGGGATATTCACAGCAGGCTGCCTTCTGCTCAGAGCCACAGCTCCACATAGACCTCCTGTGGGTGGGAATGGGAGGATCCCAGGGGCAGGAGGGCTGCAGGAACAGCAGCGTGGTTGGCATCATCAGCTGGGTTAAGGAGCCACTGGCAGGAAACTGTCACACATACAAAGCACAACCTGCTCTGACACTCCCAGGTGCCAATATCAGACCAGTGCCAGGGAGGAGCAACATTCCCAGAGCTGCTCCCAAACATAAACCAAAAAGGTTTGGACAGTTTATTACCTCTGTGAGGATCAAGCGTTGATACTTCAACTTCAGTGTACTCCACCTCAGCACTCTCAAGGTCAGGTCCTGCCCCAAAAATATCAAGAAGATGTTTCTTTGTAGGACTGCACGCTTTGTTTGAGCTGTGGGCCTGATCCTGCTGCCACTGGAATTAATGGACAAGTCCTCCCTGACTTTGGTAGGTGCAGGATCAGGCCCTCCTTACAGATGTGAGTTACTCTGCTAAGAGTTTCAAGGCCAACCCATTCCTAAGGGTCATCCCAATCCAAAGGGCAGTAGATGAGCTAAAGGCAGATTTCTGAAACTGGGGGACATGCAAATTGTGCCTAAAACTCTTACTTTCAATGTAACACCTTCAAAAGTGTCACAACACAAATGGAACAAGGAATTATCTCAGATTCTCCCATATTCCTCCTCCAGCTCCTCTTTATTTCTCTCCCTGCTCTTACTTTCTCCTTGTTTTCTATGGTATGGCAGGACACTTCCCATTCTTTCCTCACATTTAAACCCATCTTTAAGTCTTTCCTGGCCTCCTTCATCACCTCTCATTCTCCAAATTTCTGCTTTTCTTTTTTCCTCCTACATTTTCTTCCAAGCTCTCCATAGAACATCTGGAATGCAACTCATCTTCCTCCTCAAGATGCTTCTCTGCCACAATGCCCACAGAAAGCTGGATCTACTAAGGCTGCTGCCTGACAAGTCCTGGCTACCTGGATACAACAGACACAAGAAACAGCTGCTGCCTTCTACTCTGGCTTTTTCTTAGGGTGGAGATGGTTTTCCACCAGATTTCTGTAAAAGTTGGAAGAAACCATGACAAGTCATCCAGACTGGCATCCTGCAGAACTGACTTGGCAGATTATTTTATTCAGATTTCACAGTTTATTTTTAGATTTAACGCTTAAGTATTTCGAGGTCAACCAAAATGAAGAAAGGACAGAGAAGTAAAAGAAGCAGAAATCTGTAGAAAATATCTAAATATTTGTTATATAGAACTTACAATTTTGAGTCTAAGTTGTATTTTTATACCAATCCAGCGCAGCTAATTACACTTCATAATGCAAGTTGGCAAGTGGGTCCTATCAGTGTCATTTTGTGCATAAGAAAAAGAACTAAGCTCAGCAAAGGAAAATCTTCCCCACTATCAAACAGAAAAAGGAAAGGGCTGGACATATCCAATCCTTGTTGCTACCATTAGAAAACATCATGACTTTCAGTTATAAAATAGTTTAAAAATCCATTGTTTAAGTATGAAATTACCTTTACTCTCATCTGTTGATTTCATGTGATTTTCACTATCTTCAATGTAACCTGATCCTAAAATATTAAAGCCAAAGTTGAGCTGACAAAATGTTTATTGAGGCCAACTAAATAAATGAGTTACACAGCTGCAATTCCTACTGTCATTATCTGTATTTTTATATGAGACATCCTACTTTTGGTTTCACACCTAAGACATTCAAGTAACACAGGTGGGAAGAATGTGGCTTTTTAAGTAATCAGCTAAAAAGCACCCAAGGGGTAATTTTGTTTATGTCCAATACTCTAAACAACATCTCCACCTATTTTGTTAAAGTGGGAATTTTGAGATCCTGGAATGAAATGTGCCCAGTCATGGCAAGTTAACACCTCTGTCCTGTGGCCACATCACAGGACCATGTGCCACAACTCCAATTTTCCTCTCTGCAATAATTTTCTTACAGCTGTGTCAAACCCAGAAAGTAATTTTCTTTTACCATGATTTCTCCATCTGTAATACTGTCAACTGATTGCCTGGGAGAAGTGTCTGAGCAGAGTTATAAACCAATCTTTGTGTGAGACGTGCTCATAAAAACTGTACAAAGACAAAATGACAGAAGATACTTTGGAGAATGTTATTGGTATCCCTCTGTATTCCCCTAAAAATTGGGCCTTATCCAAACAACAACTATGCAAGTCCAAAACTTTCAAAAAACGTTTAATTTACCCAATTTATTAGCAGTCTTACAGCAAAATGTCCTACCTGAATAATAGTCTCCATCATTGGGCTGTCTTGCCAGTTTTTCACTTGTCAAGTTTGCAGCCAAGGCTGAACTGAAAAACAAACCAATAAAAGTTGATGTAATTATCCCAAATCAGTCAATAACATGATTCTGTGCAAAGATCAGTCACTGTCTATGCTGACTGCCATGTATTTTTAACTACTGAAGCTATTGAAAATTTTGCCTTTGTCTTTAAGAGAAGCACCAACCAAATTTAAGGCAAAAAATGTTCCCTATTGCATTATTCTTCTTTAAACCTCTGTATTTTCAATCCATTCCATGTCTAAATGCATTCAAACACAGGCCTGACATTCTCCTATTTCACTTAGCTGGCCTTTTTTTCTATTTTTAGAGTATTTCCTCATCCTGTTGTTGTATAAGCAGGTGGTACATGGAGCAGAACCATCTATTGTCTGCAGGTGTGTGCCATAATGAACTACACTCATATGGAGGAAGGCCTTTAAACAGAAATACTTCATCATTATCATAACAGCTCGTGGTTTAATCCCAGATGGCAGCTCAGTATCACACGGCTGCTCGCTCACTCCGCTCCCCTGCCTGTGGGATGGGGAGGAGGACTGGAAAAAGGTAAAACCCATGGGCTGAGATAAGAACAGTTTAATAACTGAAATAAATAATAATAATAATAATAATAGCAATGAAAAGGAGAGAGAGAGAGAGGAATAAAACCCAAGAAAAACAAGTGATGCCCAGCCAGTCCCCGAGCAGCGACAGCACCGCCCCGGTGCGTCGTTGTCACAGGGCTCAGCACCTGCTGTCCTTCAACCTTCAGCAGCCCCACAACAGGAGGGTCCTCTGAGACACAGGACAGGGGAGCTACTTCATTTCCTCTGTCTCCAAGGCTGCTGTACTGAAAGCCCACCACTACTCCTTTGGCTCCCTGAAATCCCCTTTCCCGAGACAGTTAAAGCCCCTGGAGCCTCTGGGCTACTCAAATGGGAGCTTTCTGCCCCACGTTCCCAGTCAGGCTGATTTCAGCCCCCAGTACAGTCTGCTGGGATCCCTCTCCAGAAATACAACTGGGTTCTGCCCCTGTACAGCCTGATGACATCAGGGCACACTGTGCACCAGTACCTGCTAGAGCCTTATACTCCTGGGGGGCTGATGTTCCAGGCATCTGATCCACATGCTCCAGTAAACGAGGCTGTCCCTCTTCTCCACCTGGTGCAGGCAGAGACCCTCTAGTCCTTGTCATAGGATTATCCATTTGCTTCTTGTAAAAACGGGTTAGAATTCCCTTCCATAGAGTCAGGAGTAAGATCCTTCCACTCTCAGGAACTGCTCATTGAAGACCAGAGCAGCAACTTCCCTGGAAGAACCCCCATTTGTGATTTTCCCTTGCAATCCATGTACCCTCTAGGGTCCAGGTAGAATTTCCATCCTGCTTCCTCACGTCCTCTCTGGGGTCCTCACAGGTAAAACCACAGGGTCCCCTGTGCTGTGAACCCTCTGCATTCTCTCTCTGGAGCAAAAGGACACTTACTGTTAATAGCTGAGATACTGGCCTGTACAAGTGGGAGTAGAATCTACCCGCTTTGAGTTGCTCAACCAGCTTCTCCACAGCAGAGACAAGGGAGGAAGAGAGATTTTCTCTGTGCTGCTGGGTTGGTGAAGCCACTTCATCCACCAGTGGAGCCTCTTTGTCTCTCCAGGCCATCACTGCCAGTGAGTTGGTGTATGACAATGGTGCACTCTGGACAAGTTTCTGACACATGGTTTGTGCACATCAGACTTCACCTGGATCTCTGAGTAACCCTGTGTTGTTTGGGTCACAATAAATTATCTGTAATTCCCTCAGGTACTGGGTACCTCTCTCCATCATGGTCCACTTGCCTGGGTGACACAGAACATCTTCCTTGAAGGGATACCTTTCCTTCACACTTGACAAGAGTTGCCTCCAGAGGCTGAGGCCTTGTGTTGCTCTTCCAATCACCTCGTCAGTGCACCTTTCCCTAGAAAATGATCCCAGCTGCTTGGCTTCCCTACCTTCTAATTCCACACCACTAGTCCCATTATCCCAGCATCAGAGCAGCCAGGGAATAATGTGCTCACCTGGATGATGGTTGAAATCTTTCTGCATATCCCACAGCTCACTCAGAGATACGGATTGAGGGGTTGCTTCTTGTTCTGCCTCTTCTTCCTGTTCCTGTTATGGCCTTGCTTTGTCCTCCTTTATTAAACAAGCTGTCTTTCCTGCCCATTTCTCCTTGGGAATAGGGGCAACTGGCACACAAAGGGGTTGGTCCTCTGATTCAGCTGCATCACCCATCAGTGGGTGAGTACTCACAGGCTTTGAGTAGCCAGGGATTGAGTAGCCACAGTGTCTGTCGTGGCCACTGTGATTGTTGGGGGAGTTGGAGCAGCCCCAGTGCCTGTCACAGGGGTTGGAGTAGCTGCAAATAATTGCTTAACCCTAAACAGACCTGAACCACATACTGGTTCCTACCAATAGGACCACACTGGTTCCAACACCCCAAGTCGATTCAAAATCTTCACAATTCTCAAATGCTTTTGTAATTAGCCTGGAGAAGAAAGGGAAGCTGTGGGAAGCTGTGTCCACAGACTGGCTCTCCGAGGAGAAAGGGAAAAGTGTAATTATGGATAATTCCCAATAGGTGTCTCCCCAGCACACAGGTGCTGAGGACACGATCAGGTGAGTGATGACCAGCGATTCCATCGTATCATAAATGAGTGTTACAAAGCAGAACAAAACAATAACCTCAGCCCAGGCCCCAATGGCAAGAAACACAACAGGGAGTACAGTGTTCCCTGTAAGTGCAAGTGAGGTGTTCGGACACAGCTCCGAGAACAAGCACAACAACTCTAAGAGCAAATAAATCAACATCATGGTAACTGGCTATTAAACTCTGATGAATGCTTGTAACAAATTTGTTTCAACGTGCACTGGTCAGATCTGGTTTTAACTCTGAGTCCCACTCTGGACTTCAAAAAGGACTGTCATGGTTTAACCCCAGCTGGCAGCTAAGCACCACACAACACCTCACTCATTCTGCCCCAACCCACCCTGCCCCCAGTGGGATGGGGAAGAGGACTGGAAAAAGGTAAAACCCATGGGTTGAGATAAGAACAGTTTAATGATTGAAATAAAGTAAAATATAATAACAACAACAACAATATCCACAATAATAATAAAGGAAGAGAGAGAGGAATAAAACGCAAGAGAAACAAGTGATGCCCACTACAATTGCTGCCCACCCTGTGCCCGATGCCCAGCCCACCCTCCAGCACTGATCAGTGTCTCCCAGACAATTCCCCCCAGTTTCTACACTGGCCATGATGCTCTATGGTGTGGAATGTCCCTTTGGCCAGTTTGGGTCAACAGTCCTGGCCATGCTCCCTCCTGGCTGCTTGTGCACCTGCTCATGGGCAGAGCATGGGAAACTGAAAAGTCCTTGGGTTAAAGTAAGCACTAGCAACTAAAACATCAGTGTTATCAACATTATTCTCACAGTAAATCCAAAACTCAGCACTGTACCAGCTACTAAGAAGAAAATTATCCCAGCCGAAACCAAGACAGTAAGACATCTTACCCAGACATCTCCATGGATGGTCCTTTAGCTTGACAGAGGGAAAAAAAAAAAGCATCTATTAGTAGACTGCACAAGTAAAGAATTTAAAAGTAAAGATCAAAACAAAAATATAGCAATTATTTACTCATGTGTGAATAATTTCTCCTGGCGATCACAAAACCAACTACCTCACACATTATGTCCTGTTTATCTCCGAGGTCCCTTAAATGGCTCCTTCAGAGAACCTAAGATCCTAAACCCCAGATTTTACCTTGGCCAACTTAAGCAGTCTGGGACATCCAGATGCTTCAAATTTTCCCAAATAATTTGCAGTGTACTGCATATCACAGGATAAACCAGATTTACTTGTATTCTGAAAGAACAGGATCTGAAAAAATATCTTAAAAGTTAAATCCCTAAACAAAATCATATTACAGTGTGGGAAGGAAAAAGAAACAATCCCACAACCTAATAATCTAAATTTATTTCATGAGGACTAGAGAGGCACCTCAATTACACCTGAGCTAGGACTCCAAATCAAATTGTTATAGCTCTATGAGGCATCAAAAATCTCCTCAGGCCCTGTCTGCCTCTTCATTGCACAGGGCTGAATTCCAGACCTAGGACTGCCTCTGCCCAATATACTTGGAAAGCCTCAGCACGTTTGCAGCTTAGTTTGGGTCACCTGGCATTTCTAAGCAGATTTTCAGGGTTTTTTTTAATTGTGTTCGGTCATCTCTGAAGCCTCACCCCCACAACCCTTTGCTTCTGACACAAATGCAAGTTTAACTGGAAAACATTTGTTGCCAAACAAAGAGAAGGGAACCATTCCTTACTCTTTTTCTTCTTACGCAAAAACCACCATAAGGCAAGTGCTCCCGCTCCTGCAATGGTTACCAGGACCAATGCAGCAATGACTCCTTTCTTCCAAGCTGCCAAGATGACTGGAAATAAGAAAAACATGTTTAAGAGAGTATTTACTGTGATAGGCCAACATTACCAAATTCTGCAGTTCCTGACCTTTCATTTTACTACAAATCAGCCTTCTTACACCCCAGGGAAGAACTCTGAAGGGACCTGCATGCAAAGTTCACTAGTGAGCCTCTCCTTTGTGACCAAAACCTTAGCACAACAATGGGTTGGTTTCAGTTTGCATCTGGCTCCTTTGGCTTTTGAGCATCCCCTAAACTTTTCTCTGTAAGTTGGACAATCTCTGTTTATAAAGGGACCTCTCTGTTCAGCTTCTGACAATGGTGGAACAAAAGCAAATAAGGGAGTTACACTTAGGAACATCCCAAATGAGATGACCTCACCTATCATGAGGACATGGTGGGCAGTTCAGTGACTCACCACTGACAGTTATGGGCTGGCTCCTCACGTCCACGTTGGCTCGGTTCGAGGCCATGCAATAATATGTCCCCGTGTCCTGCCTCTTCATTGTTTTCTTGTGCCACATGGCTCTGTCTCTATGTTCAATTTTTTCAAACAGAAGAACCTCATTATCAGTTTTTTTAAAAAACCTGAACAGGATTGGCAAAGACCCTTCTTTCACAGAGCAGAGAAAAGCAATCTCACTCCCATCTTCCACTTCTCCATATGGAAAACTGCCCAAGCTGGCATCCCTGACTGGCACTACAGAGGAAGGCAGAAAGAAAGCAAATATTAGCACTATTTGGAATAACTTTGATGCTAAAATATTGTGCTGTAGAAATGCTTGATTTAATGCTTAGTTAAACAGAGACTGAATGCACAGTATTAATCTTCCCAAACACTCTCTGAAAGACATCATCCTCTAGTAAATATTTTTATACACCCAGAAATAGAGAGGGCATGACAAAGAAACAAAGCAGACACAGGAGGAAATTATATCCATTCCACAGAGGTCAGTCAGCCACTTTCCTTAAAATCCTTTGGATGCCACTCCAGCCCCAGCCTACAAATTATTTCATTTCCAGAAATAATACACTCAGTCGTTCCATAGTGTAAATAATGATGGTCCAGTTTATGTAGCTATGCTTTCATAGTTATCTAGAGCTGTGCTATTTTATGCTGTGTGGTAACTGTACTCTTGTACCCTTTAATATACAACAGTCAGTATCAGCAGATAATGGATCGAGTTCTCCAAGGGCATAAGCCAGTCCCAAATTCCAATGGTTACAGAATATGGCAAACACAGTGAGGGAAGTTAGTTTGCATTTGCACAAATTGTAAGAATATGCATACACAAAATACAGTTTTTAGGTTTGCTAGTTTACGAATTAAGTATTTTAGCATATACAGAACTAGTGTAGGAGCAGATGAGCATCAGCCCTTGTAACTACATGGGGGGGAAATGGACACATATTCTGTGATACAAGGCTTGTATCAGCAGCTTTGCAAAATGTTTGGCATATGAAGCCAAAATCCCTACAGAACATTTCTCTGAAAATATTGTAAATGTGTTTGGGGCAGTGTCATGGATAACACAAGGCAGATGTAAAGAAGGAATCATTAAGGCAACACTGGTACAGAAGCAGAAGGAGAAACCAGATATGACATGAGAAGATGCTGATCATGAAAGTTCTTTTTGTATTAAGGAGCAGATTTAGATATAAGACATGGATGGGTTCCTGTGACTGAGCCTATGACAGAGAGGATTGCTCTGGAAAACATTAAGTGCTTCTTCAGACAGAAAGGACAGAATACAGAGAATTCAAAGCCACCACCTCAGCAGTGGTAGACTGTGGAAGATTGGCTCACCAGGCTCTAGAACATGACTATTCAGAACTTCCAAACAGTGCCACAATAAATCCTGAACCACAGCTCTAACAGCTGGGATACACTAGTTCCAGCAGAGAAACCAGCCTATTAACCACAAGTTTATCTTTTTAACACCAACACAATTTGGGTTCAAGCCAGGACACAAAACTGAAAACTCCTTAGTAGAGAGAAATTACCTCTTCTTTTTGAAAGGTCAAGTATAGACCTGCTCTAGTCCTGAACTACTGTGCTGTGACCAGCAACCATTTTAATTCAAGTGAGCAAAAATCTGTAAACATTTCACATCCATTTTGCTTAGTCCATCATTTGCTGCTGAAGTTTCAAAACTCTAAACATGACATCAGACAAGAAGAAGAACTGAACAGACTTACCTATTACTGTGACATTCAGGACATCGCTGGTTTTCACACCACTGGAGTGATTATTTCTGGTATCACATCTGTATCCTCTTTGGTCATTTAGTCTGATATTTTCATCCAAGAACGTAGCATATGTGTCATTAATGACTATTTTCTCGACGTCATCTCCTTTGTAGAACCTGAAGGTTTTTGGTGGTGTTCCCATCACTGAGTGGCAGATCAGCTGCAGAGGCTTCCCCAGCACCACCTCCGGCAAACCGCCGGCGACGGAAAGAGTTGGCTTGGAGACTGGAGCTAAAAGGGGAATAAAAGAAAAAAAACTGCTGAAAATTGCACTGCATAAGGCCAAAAGACACGATATTATTTTATAGGAAGTATTTAAATGCACGATATTTATCTAGTTTGCACACGCTAGTTCGGGAAGCTCTTCCTCGTCGATACAACAGAAATGGGGGGACTTGAACAAATCAATAATGTAGGTAGCAGAACATGTGACTTTGAATTGAATAGCATGCAGGGGGAATATGAAGGAAAACAAAGGCTGAGTGACACAGCTGTGGATCATCCAAACTCCAGAACTAGTTCTGACCCAAGGACTAAGTGTCACATTGCAGGTATGACCTGAGATGGATCGTGCAGCACCTAATTAGGGCCCTCTGTTCCACAGGGAGTCACAACCCAGTTAATCCCCTTCACAGACTGGAGAACCACCTGAGATTGTTCCATAAGAGGGAAGGGAACTAGAGTGCTAATAACCAGCTTTTCTGGAGCAGAGCTAACCAGATGATCTCTGGTTCTCCTGGTTTCTGCCTGCAGAGTCAGGGAGAGGGATCCAAGGCAGACACTGTCAGAGTTTCAGGTCAAATGGATGAGTGAAAGATTTGCACAACAGTTCTGGCTCCTGCAAATGGTAATGAAAGAATTTATCTGGCACCCAGCAGAACCAAGGGAGCAGCAGGAAGCCATGCCAACTCCCTTCTCCCAGGGCCAGCCCTGGAAAAGTCTGACTTGATTAGATCATGACACACCAAATCCTCTACAGTTGAAGATGACAAGCACATCTCACAGAAATTAATATTGCAAGAACTAAGAGACACCCTAGTTCATTGACTAGAGGCCGATTCTGTAAACAGATGTGCTTATTTATAAGCTTCTGGTTTAGATCCCCCCTCATCTCATTGGGTTCTAAGCCTCTGTATCAACTCACCATAAACATTTATCCTTACAGGTTTGCTCTCCTTGACTATTCCTTTTACTTCAGCTTTACAGGTATAAGATCCAGTATCATTCACATTAACTCTCATTTTTAAGGTTTGAGAACTTTTCAGTGGGATGTCTCCGTTGGCGTTTTTCCGTAGGATAGAGAAGTTAGCTTTCTGAAAACCATTAATGCTGCAATTCAAAATTAATTCTTTATTCTTATCCAGCTTAGTCATAGAAGCAACCAGTGTTGGCTTGGGAAATAACTCTGCAAGATAAAAAGAGAACTAATTCATTCCAATTGAGCCTGAAAGAACAGGACTGCTTATCTCAACATATACAGAATGAAGGACATATTGAAGGTTTATAATCTGGGAACGAAAAAAACATGTTATTTTAATATTATTATATTTTCAGGGAAAACAGAAACTCAGCAACCACTTGAAACCACTTTTCATGTGTTATTTGAGGACATTACTTTAGTTGGGGAGCATTGGTAGGAAAAAATCAGAAACTAAAATCCAAATAGCCTTTTAACTTAGAGAAAATTTACACTTAGATCTGGAGGTTACACTTGGATCTTGAGTTCTACCAAATTTAAATTTAAATATCAATACGCTGAGTAAAATCTAAGATGAACAGAGGTTTTACCTGACACGACAACATTCAGTTTGGTGGTTTTAGATGCTCCCCCTTGCTCCACCTTACACAAGTATTCACCACTGTCCTCTAGAGTAGCTACTGTGGAGTATCTCAGAAGCTTCTTATCTTGTACACTGTTCAGTATTGATTTGTTTTTCTGGAGGATGATTTCAATGTCACGCATTCGAACTACTACAGTTGAGCATTCAAATTGTATTTGGTCTCCTTCTGTAACATTACTTGAGGGCACGGTGGTCAGAGTGGGCTTTATAAATGGTTCTGCAAGAGAATACATATCAACATGCAGATAAACATATATAACTATAAATACATGGCCCAATTTTAACTGTAGCAAGCAAACAAATGTCAAAAGAAAAGCCAAGCAACTCACCCCTGACTGTAACGAGGGTTTTGTTGCTGTGTGCTGAGTCTTCCCATTCAAGTTTTACATTTCTCCTACCAAAACAGTCAAATTGTAAAATATTATCTCCTTCTTCAACAGAAACCTCCAGTACAGAAAAATTTGTGTAAGGTTCAGGTACACATGTTTCTCTAGGCGTTGAATTTGTCTTTATCTTTCGGAAACAGAACTGTAAAGGAGGTTCTTCTTCAGGCAGCTCACAACGTAACTTCACAACTTCACCCTCCAAAACATCTCTTTTGTCAGCAGTCAGGGTTGGCTTGGTCATTCCTTACACCAGAAAGCAAGAAAAGAAATAGAACATTGCATAATCCTGAAAGAAACACTATCCCTGAAGACTGTGGTAATGATTTATGCTAATTAACAGATGCAAATACTTTGCAAAAACCAAGCTTTTGAAGACCACCCAGTACCTACTTAATGCTGAACAAATTCTTTCCAAATTGCTTTTCCAAGGGGAAAAATGTCACTTGCAGTCAAGAACACAAGGCTAGAAAGAGTATGGATGGAGGTAGCCCTTGTTCTCATCAGAAATGAAAGAATAAGACTGACACAACACTGTCTGCAAAAGCAGCCCAGAGCTGACACTCCTTTGGCAGTGGCTGTCACAGGCTGAGCATCTCAGTACCTTATTTCCAGCATTTCCAGGAATCTACCCACCCTCCATCAAGGTTATGGGAACAGGCACAAGCTTTCACAACTAATACTTCCCCTAGTCTAGGGAACAGAGGCTCAGGACAGCGGGGAAGGTGGCACAGAGGGCACAGACTGTTCCTGACTGTCACTGATGTCGCCCTGAGATCACAAGTTCATTTCCATGCCTGAGCATGAGGGTTTGGTACTAAACTCTGGTGAAGTACTGTGAGCCAATGGATAAAAATCACTTTGCAAGATATCCTACTGAGCACTGACTATTATTACTTCCCCTAGAAGGTTGGGGTTTTTTGCCATGTTTGAAAGAGCACTCACCTGTTACCCAAACGTGGACGGGGTCACTCGATCCTGTCTTTTTATCTGCTTTCACAGCACACTGATAGTCTCCTGTGTCTGAAGATTTGGCCACAGGTACTTCATACCGTGCATCTCCTGTGTCTGACACAGTCATAAACACGAGCTTGCGGTCCTTAAAAATCGTAAAATTATACTTCAGCTGGAAATCAGCACTTTTGCTGATATCAGCGTGGCAGATAATTGACATGGGAGCTCCATTCCTCACTTTGACAGATGGCTCAACCTTGATTTCAACTGTGTTGAAAGTAAAAACTGGACAGAGAAAAAAAAAAATCTTATTTATTTTCAGTTAGTCCAACATAATACGGTTATCTCAAGTTGCTATACTTTAATCCCAAGAAGTAATTACAAAATTTACATTTTATTTGATAGGAATATTGTAATTTAAATACAAAGTAATTTATATACAAAAATAATAAACACATTTAGAAACAAAGTTCATAATAGTACTTATATATACATGTATATATGTTTAGAAATATATTCTGTGTTTATAACCACAGCAATGATAAATAATTTGTAGCTTAAATGTGGTAACTGTTAGAATCCTGGTATACTTAATATTTTTATTCACACGGATGGAGGATAAAGTATAGAGAAAGATCTATCAGTTCATTGATCTTCCCTTCCTTTAGAACTTATACTTTTTTGGGTTATGCCCATTTTGGTCAAGATTTGTATTAGAAATTTGCTATTAGAAGAACTTTCCTGCATCTAAAGAAGCCCCTTGCCCTGTACATTTACCAGATATTTATAATGTGTCCTTGCTAGAGAGAGTTTTGGGCATAAAACCAGAGCAAAAATTGCAATTTTTTTTGCATGTGAATAAACCACATGACAACAAGAAGCAAACCTTTGTCCCTGGTGATGGAAAAAAGGAAGCATGAGGAGTGTACGTGCTGGGAGTCACAGGATGAAAAGGTAAAAAGTTCCTTTAGAACACGAGTTCTGAACTCTGCTCAATTGACCAATTCCTTTGCACGAGCAGGAGAAAGTGCCCTTAATTCAGATGCTATAATTTTATCCTCCCTCCTTGCTTGTGGGCATGAGAGGCTTTTTTAAATACTAAACCAAAATGCTAATTTTCTCTCCCACCTTTTTTATGCCTCTGGAAAGCAAATTACTCTGGGAAAGATTTCACCAAAACATTTATTAAGATATGAGTAGCACATCTCTCATTTAAACACTGTATCAAGAAACAGCACCAAGCAATACCTTTTCTTTTCATATGGCCAAATTTCATACTGAGATATCGTACGGCAAATCCAAATAAACTCTGTTACAAATGCACACCAACAACCGAGAAATCAGTTAAATTAGTTATTTTAAATTTGTATGTGAAAAAAAACCCAACAAAATTATAATTCCCTACCTTTATCCTGAGTGTAGAGTTCTGAACCTGGGGAAAAAAAAAGAAATGTTATTTTCAAAGCTTGCAGATTGAGAGACAGCAATGTGAAACTTAAAAAGCCTCCCCAAACCCCCCCCCAGACAAACCAAAACCACAGGTACCCACCCAGAGACTTAGTTATCAAACTTACACTGCAAGAAAATCACCAGAAGAGCAAGATACATCTCGTTCCTGAAGAACAGACACTTAACCCCAAAAATCAAACAATATTCATTATCAGAGGTGATGTCTCCAGGTACCAAAACCAGGTTATGGTCTTTTTTTTCCGTTGGCTCTTTATGGAAACCGATAAAAATTTGCCATGAAAATTTGTAAGTTATCCCAGATCTCCCACAGAAACTGGCTGGATCAAGTAATCGTTCCCATTACTGGAAACTGGAAACGGCAAACAATGAGAATCTATCTGCTGCTCCCAGGCAGATTACTGGTCAGGAAGTGACTGGACTTTTCCTGAGGGCGCCACCAAATGCATTTGCTTTGTTTAATTTCTTAAGGTGTATTAAAAAAACAAGAAGTTCCAATGACATTTATCCTGCAGTTCCTGTCAATATGGGTATTTTTAAGTCACGATTAACCATTTAGGAACACGAATCACCTTTGCTATTTGAACTCAGCAGATTCTTGGGCAAATATTTCCCTTCATGCTCACAAGGTGAACAGATGTACATAATTACACATTTTTCCCTTTTACATCCATTTCTAGGTGTCCCATCTTGGCTGTGGAGTGCACAATAAATTCGAATTATCTAAGAAACCAGAGCTACTGTTGTGTGAGTCCAGAATATGGACAGGCAGATCTCTCATATCACCATCAGATATCGGAAACATGGATCTGCACCAGATTTTATTTTATGTAGTTAGGACAGTGCAAAGCCTGCAAAAGCATAAACCTTACACCCCACAAGAAAAAGAACCGGTTGGAGTTTCAGTTCTCAGCAAAAATCTGCAGCAGCACTGGCACAATGTGAAATACAGCACACTTCTCTGTTGCTCAGGGTATTCCTTTCTCACTGTATCAGCCCACTTTTAAGCCAGACTTAAGCCATTCCCATCCTGAACACTGACTCAGTTTGACAAAGTGAGTTGAAATCATGCCCTTCAAAAAGTGTTTCTTGAGTTGTGTGTCCCAGACCTCCCCAAGCAGTGATTTAGTAATTCTTGAAAATTCAGTGTTCAGCTCTTAATCTCTTTCTCTCCTTTGTAGACAGAGTCAATGCTTTCCTTTAATTCCAAGCTTGTTAAAACACTGTGTAAAACAACACTAAATATGTTCACAGAAATCTATAAAACAGACAGTTCTCATGAGCTTCGCTTATATGAAATCCTTTTTTTTTTCTCCTGGGGGTCAATGAAAACTGTATTTTTCCCCCAAAAAAATCAATATTTTAAAGCTATAAGTGTACTTCAATGCTTGTATTACACATATAAGAATGGCATTTTGCAAAGGGAAACAGAAGGAAAACACTCATCTGTTTAACAATGCATCGGTCATGAACAAGCACCTCTCTGGCTGTTTTACAGAATGGCACAATAGCCACAGCAATTAATGACTAAAGACTAAGCTGTTAACTACCAACAGTGTTTGTTCTGCTTAGTCCAGGCTCTTGGAAACACACCACCAACAAAGGATTGGGGGTTTGGCCGGTGGCCAACAATGGTCTCCAGGGACAGGTAAAGGAAAAGGGCAGGAGGACACATGGCAGGTGGAGAACAAAGGTAGATCAACTTTTGCTATTGGTAACAAAAAAATAGGAAGGAAGGAGATTTTCCCCTTCCCCCCTTTCCCCAGAAAAGAATTTAGCACAACATAAAAAGCTCAGCAAAACCACACCAGTCTTTCCCACGAGGGACAAAGGTTTCTCCGAGCCCAGCAAGGGAAGGAGAGAGTGAGTGTGAGACAAGTTCAGAGCCAGGCTGGTTTCAGACTCGGGTGGAAGGCCAGCTTTGAGGATGAACTAGCTCAGGAGTAAGGTTTAACGGTGCCAAAACCTGAGGCTGTTGGGAGATGTCGTTCCCAAGAGAAGTACATTCCAGAAGATCTTACAGGCTGATTACACTGTCACATTCCTGCCCAGCCTCGACAGACATTGTCGTGGAGAGGAAAATCCCGCTGGTGTTGACCAAAATCCAAGAAGTAAATTCAGCTGCAGGAATTCAAGCCAAAAGAACATGAAACTTGGGGAAAAAACAATGCAAACACAAAAGAACGGCTTGAGACCATCTTCCCTGGTTAAACTGGAAATCACATTGACCTAAAGAATTTAAACTTCAAAGCACCTGTGCCAGTAACACAGCTGCAGATTTTCCTCACAGCCAGTTTATTGTAATCTCTCCAGATATGTATTTCTGAGTTACAGAATATCAAACTTATTCTAATATACATCATATAAAGAACTCTATTCAATCCCTATCTCTATTTATGGGAAAAGTAGGATTGACCTCCAAAATGCAACACACCTCCTGAAGCAGACAGAATAAATCATTGTAATCTGACCGAGTGCCCTTTGAAACCCATGGGAATCACCACATTTCATCTACTGCCAATGAATTGGGCCCTTAAACATTAAAATCCTCCTCTGGGAATTCTCTGTTTCTGCTGGCTGGATCCCCTGCTGCTTGCTTACATCTGACATTTCCTAAGAGCCCTCAGCTCTGGCATCTGAACAGAGTTCTGCTGAAACGAGAGGCAAAGCCTATTTTGCTAACTAAGGGAAAAATGCTGAATAAGATTTTCAAATTTTTCCCTCTGCAAATACAGTGTTTTCAGGCAATCCCTTATGACAGGAAAGGGAGCTCGGAGTTCCCAGCCCATTCCAGCTGTTTGTTTCCATGTGCTCTCCGGGCTGGCGTGACAGCAAAGAGCGGCCGCGGTGCTGGTGCTCAGCACTGACATCTCACTTCCTCACACAGCACACACGAGTCCAGCCAATTCTGGGGCCTCTCAACTCTGCCTCCTGCTCTCAAATGCCTGTTCCTGAGGGCAGTTTCACTTTCTTCAGAAAAGAATTTCTATCTCACCGATAAAAACTTTTCCGGGGTCAGAAATCTCATCCCTTACACATAATTTCTTGTATAAGTTCACTGATTTTAAAAATAGTTAATTGCTACAGAGGTGTATCTACAAATGTTTGGGGTTTTTTCTAAATTTTATTTTAAAATTTAGAAAAATTCAGAGGTCTGGGTCCATCTATACTGAAGTCAACACAAGTTTTCCAGTAACTAAATCAAGACCAAAAAAGCAGCTCTGATTTCTAATCCTCCAATTCCTGACACAGATAATCATTAAATTATTTTGATTTCTTGTAGCTGTGAGATGTTTTGCTCAATTCTAAATTCCTGTTTCAGTATACTCATAGATAATAGAACTATGACAAACATTGCTGTTTACACAAGTCTGGACAAACCCCTGGTGAACTGTGAATGAAACAAGTTCTTTCTACATATATTTTCAGGGCATACTGTTCTGTCTTGAATGTGGGACACTTGCATCGTTAGTCTTTTTTTTTTTAAAGTGTCTCTTTATACCTCCCCAGAGAAGAATTAAAAATTAATTTTCCTCCATGGATTTGAATATTTACATGAAAGAAATTAACCCTGCCTTTTTTTCCAGGAGTCTGGAAGTTCTACAATTTACAGAAACTCTGGATTGCCAGTTTGTGCATCTGGGAATAAATTGCATTTCACAATGGCACCATCTGCTGGGAGATGAGCACGGCAGTGAAGTGCAATTAAACATGTGATTACTGGTATCCAACACCTCCTCCAAAGGGCAACATAAATTAAACCTGGAAAAGCAACCGAAGGAACCAGGGAGTTGATAATGACAGAATGTCACTGAGGCTTCCACATTGGAATTTTTCTTTTTAATACAACAGGAGCTAATTATTGCTATTTGGTTTTTATGCTTCCTTACTGATATGGTGCAACATTGAAGAACACTAGAAATCTAACCTTGACTTGTATTTCATGTAACACAAACCTCCACGTACCTCATCAGTTGGATAAAAGGAGAGAAATTCATTCTTTCAGAGATGTGAAATCAATTTATGATTCCATTATTTTTGTGGCCTGTGATACCACCTTGACCACCTTTCCTTGTGCCAGCAGCTTGTGAGTGACTCAGCTCCTCGAGGGCATTTTTAACCGCTGTCCACTCCTGCATTAACAAATTCCTCCGTTTAGAAACACACAACACAGCCTGTATCACTGTCACACACTGCCCTTCCCTGGCACTACACCAGGATTTGCATTTGTTTTGTTGAACATCCAGCATTTCTGGATGCAGCTGAAAACCAGCTTCAAGCTCTGCAGGAATACCCCTCACAGAGGATGGACAGTGACAGAGAAGAGATCAGAAACTTCTGGCTGGAGAGGGAATTAATCTGGAAATATTTCTCCTTGGTGATTCTCCAAGAATTATTCCACATAGGTTTCATAAGTATAATTCAGTTGGTAGTGACTCAACAAGCTGGTCCAAGTTGACAGGAAACCTTTCAGCAGAGTTAACACAAACCAAGAGGCAGAATGATCTGCTCCTTACCTGCAGCAGGTGCCCACACACAGCCAGTGCTGCCACTCATGTAACTGCTGGTTAAACTGCACAGAGGGGCAGATACTCCTCAGAGACACCTCAGTGTACACCAACAGAGGTTTGAAAAGGGACGAAAACCAGATAAGAGTCCTGGCAGATTTAATATTTTTTTTAGCATTTTTCTTTTCATTCAGTATGTTTTCTAAGGAAAAAAAAAAAGTTAACTTTTATCAGAGGTTAGGCAGCAGAAAAAAGTTAAAATTACAACTATGAGTTTGTAAAGAAGGCTGATTAAGCTGACTAAGAGAGTACTCCATATTTTTCAACCACAGCACTCTTACAGCAATTCCTGAACACGTTTCTCTGGAACACTCTTCATACAGTGATGTCTGAATTTATCCCATGAGAAATGTATTAGTAACCCCAGTTTTCTGTGTCTCATCCAAATTCTTTCTTTCTTTTTCCAGTTTTGGGAGAGGATTCAGAGGGCAGACATACCACATTTCATCTCTGGGAGATGTAGGAGCTGCTAGGTTATCAAACTGAGTGCCCAAAAGTTCCTTTCACCTGCTGACATGTCCTTTGCAACCTGCAGTTAATTGAAAACCAGTCACTACAACAAAATTCTCATTCAGAACCTGAGCATCACTGCAAGAAATTTAAAGCTACCTTAAATATCCATATAGAAGAGATAATTTCCTCTTCTACTCTTAATTGTCCTCCAGAAAAACAATCCTCTCACAAACATCAAGTAGTTAAAATAAACAGCAGACTGGCTCCCACAGCTATTTTTACAGGAGTGTAAAAATACGGTATTCAGTGAGGATCAAGCTATTTCACTAAAACCTTTCTGCAGACAAAACAGAGCCTTAATTTAATTCATCACCAGACATAGCTGTCAGTACATGGTGATTTCTAGCAAACCTTCTGCAGATATCTACTGTAGCAGATGCTCCTCCAGAACCTCTCAGGATGAGAAACTGGGGCTGGCAATAACTTTCATAATTCTGCTGAAAAATGCAAATTTCCCTGGAAGCCTGTGATAGAACAGACACAGTGTGAAGCTTTCACAGCCTTACTACAGAACACTATCACACTATTTACATTCTCAAGTCTTCACTGACCTTGTGAATGAAAGCTCAGTTTGGGTTTTATTCTCTTCCACCTGCTCGCTTGAGGCAGAATATTGTCACAGCACCAAGTGATACATATTTCCCTTTCTGACTTTTTAACTTACTTGTTTTGGTTGGATGGCTTCTGTTCTGTAATGCCATGTTCATTACTCTTCGCTAGATTTATTCAGTTCTTCTTACATGTACAGCCACATTAATTGCAGGCAGAAAATTTGTACATCTAATAAAAAGGGAACTCTGAGCTTACACAATATCACTGTTGGCATAAAACTCTCTGTGTACATGCTGAACAAAGCAACATCACCTTAGTCCAAAGTCAACAGTCAGCCCTGCCAGAAAAACAATCAGCATGGAAGTAAACTCAATTCCAAACAGAAACCAGGCCTTTGGACTCGTCCTCTTTGGACACCCAGGCTGTGCATCCTGAGGGAACCTGCACACACACCACTGAAGCTGCTGTACGTGAGAAATCCTGGTGACTACCAGACTTTTATTTTTTGAAAGGCATGGCCAAATTCACAGCTCATTTGCTCTGTAACCACTCCCCATTGCCCACACACAACATGAAGCAGCTTCTTAGAAAGAGAAAAGCACTGGGTGGTGGGTGAGCACCTCCAGGGCCTCTGAGGGGACACACCCATCTCTGAGGGGACACCATCCCGGGCGCCAGTGTCTCAGGGACTGTGTGTGTGGGTTTCTGACAAAAACAGGCTCCCACAACAGGAAAATGCACAAGTACCCCAACAGTTCTTCCCCCAACAGCTGCATTTTCACACGTGCTTCCTGACAGCTGTGAAAAGATGTTCCGCCCTTGTGGTTTGCTGTCAGCGTTTCCAAACCAGAAACATTTGCGAGGGGAGGGTGGAGATTGTCTTAGAAGAAAATAAAAAAACAAAACAAAACAAATCCCCTCCACCCCTAAAATTAAAAAGAAAAGAAAAACAAGGAGGAAGGAAGTGCACACACATTCTGTGAGGAAGTTTTGCAATGCTGCAAGAGCTGAGGATTTAGGAGAGATCCTGTATTACACCTCCAGACTGCCTTGCTGCCTTCAGAGACTGGAAACTAAGAAATAGGAAATAAGATGAAGATCACAACAACTCTTTTAAGGCATGTTCTGTGTAAGCAATTACCTCCTCATATACAACAGGGCCTGGAGCCTCTCAGAAGGCACTGCCCGTGTATGGCTGATGATCACACTTACTTTGTCCAGAGGATGACAAGGAAAGAACATCTACTTGCCAAGACTGTAATTTGTATTACGGATTAGCTCATCAAATTAGTCATCAAGTTTGTTTATGCAGTGCTGTTGAACTCAAGTTCTTTATGAGATCTCTAGCATCTAATACAAGGTCTCACTTCCTCACAGCCTCACATTTGAAGTTTGACCAAAATATTTTCCAAACCAGCTGGCTAGCTATAAATATTTATTAGCATCCTAAAACTTTTATAAATTTGATACTATCTTTTTTCTGGACTGTTTTTTTTTTAAATTATATTGCTGCTAAAAAACACCCAGTACCACATACTTCCTTAGTCTCAGCCATATGATCACTTGCACTATCTGTGGCAAACTTGACTTTTTGATACAGATCAGTGATTGATCTCATTCCCTTTTAAGAACAGTACCAGAAAAACTACCCAAAGGAGGTTGTAGCCAGGTGGGGGTTGGTCTCTTCTCCCTAGTAACAAGTGATAGGACAAGAGGAAACAGACTCAAGTTGTACCAGGGCAGGTTTATATTGGATATTAGGAAAAATTTCTTCATGGAAAAGGCTGTCAAGCCCAGGCTGCCCTGGGAAGTGGTGGGATCACCAACCCTGGAGGGATTTAAAACATGGGGATGTGGCACTTGGGGACATGGTTTAGTGGTGGACCTGGCAATGGTCAGACTCAATGATCTGAGAGTTCTCTTCCAACCTCAGTGATTCTATGATTCCATACATGGCAGCATGGTTCTACCACCCAACTCACACAGAAAACCACTGATTGTGTCCTAGAACAACTCTAGGCAACATTTACCTGCATCCCAAACTGCTGCTCCTCACTCTGTCACTACCCTGCCTGCCACAGGCTAAATGTGCATGGAACATGACAAAAAACTCTTCACAGAAACATCAGTAGAGATCAGCACTGTTTCCACATATAGAACTTCCTCAAGCCCTGGAGCCACTCCCCGATCTCTTTTGAAAGAAAGATCTGTCATGTAACTCCACCAGCTCTCTTGCCCAGTACAAGAAAATGTTTTTTCTCACAATTCTGCTGTTTTCCTACCGTAAGCCAAGGACATGCTTCTTTCCTACTCCAAATCTTTCTAAACCAGAACCACTGTTTCTCACCTGAAAGCTTTTCTTTTTCTTCTCTTAGCTCAAATGTCTCAGCAGATACAGAAAACTACTGCAAGTGGCAAAGGTAAGTTCACTTTTGTTGATTTTGAGATATGTGCTGCAATTGACTGTTAACCAAAAAGCGGGGAAGGGATTTAAAAATGTCCGAAAAGTTCATGTATAATTAAATCTTTTGCCTGTCTGTGCAGTGAGGCAGTTTACAAGTTTCTATACGAAGTTAACAGTCTCTTTGCTGACCTGTCTGTACAGTCAAAATTGCTCTAAGTTGTTAAAATATTTTTTCCCACTAGAAATGTTGTTATTTTAGTTATGAGTAGTTTAGTGCCATTTTCTATGAAAAGACAAGTTTTTACTGCAAATTTATTTGTATAATATCATAAAAGGAAACAAATTTGATAGACCATCAAGGTCCCTGCTACTATTCAAAAGTTCAATCTGCTTACACAAGGTTAATTCTGCCTTTTTACATACAGCCACAAATAAAATACTGCTTTTGCTTTCAGGTTCACATGCTACCTTTCATATGGCATATAAGGTTTTTCTCTCCTACCATTAACACTCCTAATGTTTGATTTATCTTTTGTACTTCTATTATTTTAATTGCAGCTGTAGTTCAAAAGTATTTTTGTTGGCTCTCCTGGACACATCTGTGGGCTTTGTGTGGCTGTGCCCTCTTTTGCATGAAGACATGCACTTTTTGTCATGTGTGAAGCTGCATACTGGTTTTAAAAAGTATGAACTTGAGTTGCCTGCTATTGGAGGTGGAAAAAAGTATATATTGCCCTATTTCAACAGAAATAAATATAGCTTGGTTCTCAATGTATTTGGGGAAAAATCTGGGAGTTTTTTGGGTGATAAGTGCAGTCAACTCACTCAGAAGTTTCTCCTTTCCAGGGATCCTGTCCAACCCCAAGCTCGAACTGGTTCAGAGGAGTTTGAACGTGGTGATGAACCAGAACGTGACCCTCTGCTGCTGCTCTGCCTCTGGATCTCCACCTGTCAGATACACCTTGTTCAAACACAACCAGCAGGTATCCTCTCTGAACAGGTCAGACTCGACCCCTGCATTGTTTACCTTGACTATCAGCTCTGCCAGCGACGTGGGTCCCTACAAATGCAAAGCTGAGCACAACACCTCCAGTGATGGAAAATACAGCAACAGCCTCAACTTCACCCTTATAGGTATGTCTGGCTGGGCACCTTCCCAACACTCTTTATTTTAGGGGCACAGTCTTGCCTGAGGAGCTGACCTTTACTGCAGATGGCTGTTATTCCCTCAGGAGTCAGCAGCGCTGCCCTGCCCTGGCTCACCAAACCCTCCATCCTTGATGCTCACCCTATTTTGCTGCTTAACTCTGAATCTTGCTTGGAGCTTGTCCTGTACTCAGTGATTGAGCCTTTTCAGTTTTCTTTTGTCAGAGCCAATTTCCAAACCAGTGCTGAGCTCACCCACCTCTCAAACAACGAAAGGCCAGAACGTGACCCTGTCTTGTTTCTCCGAGAATGGATCTCTTCCCATCACTTACATATTCTTCAAGGGAAAACAAAGTATCTCTCCCCCAGTGATGATGCATGAGAGGGAAGCAGCTGTGATTTTTCTATTTGTCAATTCCTCTACTGACTCTGGAACCTATAAATGCAAAGCTAATAATAGTTTTCCCAATAGTATGAAATACAGCAACAGTTTCAACTTCACATTAGCAGGTAAGCATAAAAGAGTTACCACTGACAAGCAGGGACCATATAAAGTTCAGAATGCTGCCATGATCCAAGTTTTTTAGCTAGATATTTTGTTCCTGCAATATCATGTTCAAAATATAATTTTTTACGACAAAAAAATAATTTTAGTTTTTCAAATGCATGCAAACCCACAGAATTCCACGCAGCCTAGACAGGAGAAGTTGAAGTGCCCATGAAGAATGACTGTAAAAGACTCACTTTTACAAGAGACCCCTGGTCCACCTTGGGGAGAGTCTGGTTTTATTTGTCTCTCTGGTCCTAGGAAAGAGCCTCCTGGCACCAGCAAGCTGGGGCACAGTGCCCTTGGCACTCTCCTGAGCACTTACATTAACCACAGTTAATCCAAAAGCTGAAAGAAATTCCAAAGACCTTGATTTTAATGCACAGAAAATACTTAAAATACAAAACATTTCATTGCATAAACACTTCCTTTTTCTTCCTTTTGGCAGAAGAGAGAAGCCATTCTCAGGCCCTGATAATTTCTCTTGGGCTGATCCTGCTACTACTCATAATAGGATTTGCTCTGGCAATTCCATTTTTCATAATTCCTTCATATAAAGCAAGTGAGTTATCTGAATGTCTCTTTCATTTTCATTTATGTTGTCATTATACTTTACTGTATATAAATCACCTTACCAGCAGAGTAGCTCTTGGTGATTTAGGATGTTGTCAAGTCTCCTCTCAACCAGCACTGGCAACTTAACATTGAAAAGGCAAAACTTCTACCCTGTTTTGGATGGCAGGTCTGGGATGGGAGTAACAAAGCAACATCTAATGTAATACACAGAAACACTGGAAGGAATTAGATCTCGTTGGAAAGGGAAATCTGTTAAAATCTATTAAAATGCCCTTGGTTAAAGAGCAATATTTATCATGAAAATAACATTATCTGAGGTCTCAAAATATTCAAAAAATATCATGAAACTGTTTACTTCCCTCTTAAGAAAAACTGATACAGGTATACACATGTTTTTCTTTTACAATTTGCAGAAAAATATAAGTCTACCAGGCCCTCAACTGGCTTTACATCAACAGTGAATGTGGAGGAGACTGAAAATGATGTCATATATGCAGAGATTGGTAAGTTCATGTCACCCCCCTGCACTCAGGATGGTATGGGCACAGTTCAGGCACTGCAGGAGCCTCATATATGGATTCCCTCAGAATGCATATTTGGCATCACCTGTCAGCCATGCAGCCAAAACTGCAGCTGGTTAAATGAAACGAGGTTCTATGTATTTACTAAGAGCCAACAAAGGGCTATATGGAGTTGTAGCAAAATAAAACTTACATAGCTCCTGCATTCTGTTCAAAATTGTTCAGTGCTTCTGCTCTTTATTCCATGTTTCTGAAGTTTGACAAGACTCAGTTCAAACTTAAATTATGAAGTGACAACAAAGCAATATTGTGCTGCTTCAGCTGCAGAAAATACACAGTAACAAAGACATTCTCCAATAGTCACAATGCTCTGAACTTGGGAGTTTTCTATATTTGCTCTATATGTGAATGTCTCTTTTGAAGGGGAAAAAGAAACCCCCAAACCAAACCAATAGCAAGGGCATTATGTTTCCCATTTCTGAATATCAAAATGGAGTCATTCTCTCCAAACTAACCTGCCTTCCTGATCCTGCAGTACACAGGTAAGGTCCTCACTGCCCTGCTGTGCAGCTGCTCGTGCCAGGGATCACTCAGCATCCCACCCACAGCCTGCAAGGACAGGGACAAGAGCTCTGATAAGGCCCGGGAATGCTACACAAAACAGGATTTATATTCACTAGAGAATCTCACTGCTTTATTTCAAGATTATAGAAAAAAAAAAGTCTGATCTAGTTGCTTGTAATTAACTGCTGTTCACCATCTTTAATCCAGAGCCTGTTAAGCCAGAAGAAGAATACATCAACTTTTCTGTTATCAGAAGAGAACATGAAAAAGGTGAAAACCTCAAGCTGTAATATTGGAATATCTGATGCTCACAACCATGTTTTGAGGGGACTTTGCTGGGTGGAGGCAGGGCTTAGATAGTTGTAGTTGCTCATGAAATTGCTTATTTACCATGGAGAAATTAAAGTAACTTTAAGACCTCTCTAGGGGGGAAAAAAGAAAAAGAAAAGAAGACAACTATCCTATGACCCAAAAAGTCAACAGCCTCACTATGAAACCATGCAGATGTTATTAGTAACCATGTTGCTGATGTAATGTTAATTCTTCTACTGGATATCTGTATGAAAAAAGCAATTATGAATTGTGCTATTCTGGCTTTTAGCAGGGAAGAGGGAATGTACTACAGTCTATTCAAAGGTCCTCATCAGAAACTGAGTACCAGGTATGATCTCTTTTGTGGTTAACTTAATCACATGTTTTTAAAGAATTTTTCAGTCCCCAAATGTGATAAGTACCAGCAAGTTTCACAGAAAGAGATGATGTTCAGATACCAGTTTCCTGGCCTAGGCAGTTTGTAGACAGATAGAAGCAAAATGTCACAGTTATAATATCCAAGGACTTCAACTTAAGAGAAAAAGCAGAACAGATAACAACTGGAAATACTGAACAGCAATTCCATTAAGATAAACAGCAGCTTATTGCCCAAACAGCACCATAAAAGCCACACCAAAGCAATGCAATCACTGCCAGGTATGACATCCTGCTGGACACAATATATAGTCTGGCATTACTGGCATCTGATGAATAAACAGAAAGGAATAAATTATTTAAAGCTTTCACCCAGCCCCAAGTTCCCGTACAGTTAACAATTCTCCTAAAGCAGAAACTGGATTGTGTGCAGACATAAGATAATCAAAAGGCTTTAGTTCAGTATAAATTAAAAAAAACATACAATCCCAAGTGTGTCCTCTTAGGCACACACTGGAGGATGTGTGTTGGGCCTCAGTACCTGTAAGGATGGGAATTTCTCAGTTCTACATTATTTCAGCTCTCAGGGTAGGGATAGGATGTCAAAATTAACTTTTGGAACAGCTAATTCCAAAACAAATTCTGCATCCTGCTACGGGCCGTTCTTAAATAATCCTGGGTTGTTCTAATGTCATTCCACAGCTAATTTAGAATTCCACATGTTTAACAAGTCACACTATGCTGACCTTATCTAACTATGCTGACTATATCTAACATAATTACACTATGTAGCAATTATTGTTACAAATAACTCATTTTTAGTTAAGAAGAAAATTTTAAGGCAAGTTCCTGTGTTTCATGACACTGATGACTATCAAGAGGCCATGTACCTTGTTGCACACACTTTAAGCACTTTACACAGTGACTCAACAAGCTCTGAACATGCTGTAAATCTCCAGAAGATCAGAAACACTCAATTCTGTATCTCTGCAAACTCTTGTATCTGATTTTAACCACTATGCTCAGCAGGAAAAATGTGATCACACATTAGGCTTTTTCCAGCATCTTATATACACAAGACTTTTTCTTTCCACAAAAAATACTTGTAAAAACCTTTACAATTTATTTAAATCTATTCCTCTGTTACTCTTGATAACTTACTTCTGATTTTTATGTTTATCAAGTGCAAGATGAAGTAGCTTGAATGCTGAAGAACTGGGGCCACGTGATTAAAACACATTCCTACAAACAGATAGTACAAAGACACTGATTTATTAAAACGTTTAAGATTTGGAAGTCTTTTATATAAAATCCCATTTTCCAGCAGAGATCATAATTGTGTTACCAACACAGATGAAAGCTGAATTTTTAGCTTAGGATGGAGTACTTTTACCTGACAGTAGAGACATGAATGAGGATATGGTTAGCCCTGCTAACCAAGGACAAGTTGCATCTCTTGCCTTTTTCCAAGGAAACCTGGAAGACCTGGATGGCCTAGACTTGGCAGCAAAGAGATGCACCACCAAACTTTAGCAGAGCTATTTGCAGAGAAACCACCAAGACCATGACAGCGCTGAAACCTGTCCAGGCACAGAGGTTTAAGAAAATCCCTTTATTCAGTGAATTCCAGCTTACACATTTTTGGCTGACGTCACATATTTAGTTAGAAAGTCCTTCAGCCTAGAAATGTGCATCATTTCCTTCATGGTGGTGTCTCTGCTCCTCAGCTGGACCACCCCGTTCTCCAGAGTGGCATCAGTTATCAAGATCGTGAAGAGAATGCTCATCTCATCGTACCTGAAAAGAAAAGAGTCCCCCTGTTACTGCTTTTGGTGTGTGGAAAAAATCAGATAAATTATGTGCCAATGACCACAAGCTGTAAATATTTATTTTTGCTGTACTGCACCAAGTCCAGCATGACGACACCAGTTTTCTTGTTGCCATTCCTTGCTTTCCTGATTACATTTCTTTAAATTATTTAGCTACTTTAGTACATAAAAGAATGTTATCTAGTGACCTATTACAGGAATATTTTTGCAGAAGTAGAATTTATCTGACTTACTTTGAATACTACTGCACATGAACAAATAGTTGTATTTATTTTCTCTAAGAAATATTCATCAATATCAAGATCCACTGACATGAGCAGCCATATGCCCCAAATTCACTCCTGATAAACAACTCATACATGAAGCCCCCAAATGGAATAGCTGTTTTTATATCCACAAATAATTCCATCACATACACTGACAGTAATGGTTCCAGATTTGGAAGAACTTTTAAGACTAGACACAGTGTGCTACTTGAAACAGTACTTAAGAATGAAACACAGAACCAGAGCAGACGCAAAAATGGGGCTGAGGGTGGGAAACAATTCTGAGAGCTTCTGGCTCATGTGAAGAAATTTATTTTCAATAGGAGAGTCTCTAAAAGGCATTTCACACTTCCAGGGAAATAACAATAGCACATGAAAAGCTTATACTTAATTTAAAAAATGAACAATATGCTTTTCATAATAAAACTACTCAAATCCAAGTCTGTAGTTTGGGATCAATGCCTTCAGTCATGTGGTTACTGCACCCAATGACTTCTTACTGAAATCAGGCATATTTGCACTAGTCCACAGAAAGTCATCTTTCACCTTCATACTTTAATTTACCAAAGATTGTTTCTCCTTACTTTGTATAAAGCTGTTCCAGAGACACTGGCACAGTTTCAAGATAACCTGGCCACACAGAAATTCTGTTTTCTGTCAGTTCATTGAACAGTCCTTGACAAACCTGTGATCATTTAAAAACAGAAGTTAAAAGACAGACTTTGAGGGTCTGAGACTCAACAAAGAAACCATTAGAACTCTAACATGTGTGGTATTAACATTCCTAGCTGGTGTTAATTTGCTGGCTGAAATAATCTCCAAATGGAAAGCAGCCTGGCAATTAAATCTCCAATTCTGTTTAAGAACAGTGTAAGTTTGCTCCTTTCTGTGAGGACTGACAATGACTGACTGACATAAAAACTCTTAAGAAATCCTTCTGAAGATGCAATCCATGTGTTAAGATAATTCTGAAATATTAAGAAGCTGGGAGGGACTGTGTTATTTATTTTCTTTAATGTTGCATGGAACAAGTATCAGGTCTATTAACAGCACCAAAAGCAGTGTGTCCACACAGGGAACTGCCTGCAGTGAACTTCTTTGGCTGTGACTCACAAGCTGCACAGCAGGAATCAAAGCAGCAGAAAGATTTTCCCCAACACAAACCCTGTCTGAACTGTAACGTGGAGATTCAATGCTCATAATTAAAATACTGTCTTACCACATACCTGTCTCAGCTCTGTTGTTGGACCTTTTCCTACATCCAAGGCCACTTTAAGAGGTGCTAAACAAGGATGTAGCTTAAGTACCTTGTAAATTTTAAAAAAGCAACAGATTACCAAATTTGTTTAGCAGCAATTCTACAGATCTAGGAAATAGTAAGTTTTTTTAACTGAAATTAAGGCTCTAAACAGGCAAAAATTTTCTCATAGCACAAATTCCTGAACTAGCAGCAAGCTGTATTTTATATAACTAGCACACTCATACTCCAGCTAGACTCACAGGGCAGAAATTACTCCATTTTGGCTGAGCCCCAGGAAAGAAATGAAGATTTGTTAGCAGAGCTCCATCATCTTGAACGGAGCCAGAGTGATCAGAGACAGCCCAGCAGACAGTTCCCATCCAGTCTACTGCCTGTTCTTAAAGAACAAACAGCTGTTTGGGTGACAAGCCCTGTCTGCCAGCCAGCACTCAAACTGCAGAGAAACGGGGTAAAAGTGGGAATAACCATGGTCCTTGGGAAGATGCCCCACTACCACCTGTGACCCACTTTTTCTGCTCTTCTCAGCCACCTTCAAATGCTGCTGGAAGAGACAAATTCCTCTTTTCCACAAACTGCAGCTACATTCCAACTTCTCTTAACTCCTTCACTGCTTGTATGGCAAGAGCCTGCCTGCCCATCAGAGAAAAAGGTAAAACAGGAAAGGGAACCTCAGAGTGAGAGAAAAAAATGCTTATGTGGGTGACAAGGCCTGCTGGGCAGTGCCATGGGGCCAGCCTGGTGCTACCAGTGAGAACAGTCAGTCTGCATCCATTTGGGAAGGGAAGAGGATGGCCAGGTGGAAAAAGGAGACATTTCCATGCTTGAATTTACCATATTGTCTGTGGCTTTTGTACTTAAGACTTTTGTTACACTTTCTACAGAAAGTTACCTTTCTCTGTGAATTTTTCTTTGTTGCTAATGGATTCTCAGCCAGCTGCAGGGAATCAAAGAGATAGGCCAAGACTCCTCGGTCCAGGTTTCCATTCATAGACAGAACATGAGGAATAACATTCTTCCTTCCATCTCGGCCCTGAAGAGAAAAAAACACAAAGGGAAACATCAAAGATTGACCCAAAAAGCCTTTTGCTTGCTTTAAATGTATAATGAGGCATTGAGGTCGAGTACCTTTATAATGTTTAAAGCACAATCAGACATGTATTTTAAAAAGTTATCAGGTAACACTGCAACACTGGGGAAAGCAGAAGGTCAGAGCAGGATGGAATTAGTTTCTTGCCTGCCACTATGATCATAAATTTAAATCTATGGCGAATACACTTGAAATTGCATTTTCCTTTGGAGATGTGTAGATTATTTCAAAGTAAACAGGAGGACCTCTCCCCACGTTCCAAGAAATCCCTGCCCCAGTTTTGTAGGTTAGTCTTCCACCTTCTCTACAGAAATAAACTGCAAAACCAGGAAACACTGGACTGTCACGAGAAGGAGAAGGTTGCAATTTACTGGTAAAATACCAAGTTACTCTCACTTTCACTGTTCAGCCTGACTTCAAACATTGCCATTCACTAGAAGTTTGTCCCCCTCCAATACATTCAGTGGAGAGGTTTCCCTCTAATCCATTCCCTCTTTGAGTGTGGTAACTTCTATAAAGCCTTTTGCAGTGTTTATAACCCATTAACCTACATAATATTCCACATATATGGATGTGAACAAGCTACAGCAAGAAAAAAACATTTACAGGGTTTTTTTTTCATGCAAACTGAACATTGCAAAGCACAGTCTGATTTCCCTTGACATCTTTTAACAGACACAGGTAAAGACAGCACTGATAACAGCTGTCTTGTCAATACAGTTCATTTCTAATCACAGTTAATTAACTTATTGCAAAAAAAGTCCCAAAACACTATTTTATCATCTTCTGAAAATGGAGGTCTGACTGCAGAGTATCAACTGTACTACTTTTACAGCCAACAAATAACAAGACAGTCACCTGTTAAGCAACAGGACCAGCAAAGAAACCATTTCTCTCACACATTACCCTCTTTATCAGAAAAGATTTTTAATATAGTGAAGCTTACAAGTAATTTTGAACTTTCCCCTGGATACATCTGTAACAGTTCAGTATCACCAAGGTTCTTCAGTGTTTCTATTGTTTCTGTCCCCCAAGGAAACTTGTAATGTAACTTAAATCCTCTTCTGCCTTCTTCATCATGAAAGTCACTGCTGCTGAAGTTAGATGGGCCTACTGCAAACTGAAAATAAAAGGTGTAAGAGGTGTAACACTGTGAATCCTGTATTAACTAAAAAACCAAGTCTGCAATGCAAGCTGAAATCTGTGATTTTCAGCAAAAGATTTTTAGAAATTACAGCCCAAATCTCTCTGTTGTTTCACGGCATTTTAATCTCACATCACTTACAAACACAAAACATTTGGCTTTCTGTAAGCCACGTGACAAACTTCTTATCGGGTTTGTCACAAACTTCAGTTGCTTTTCAGTTTCCACGAGAAATAAGCCCATTTCAGTGGCTAGAACCGGCCAGTAATGTAAGGCCATAAAACCAACCAGGGTGACTATTGCCCCTCTGAAAGGAGCAGGCCAAGATTCCCCAGGGATATGCTGCTGTTACCTTTCTCCACCACTGGAGCCTCTGGCGTAGCCAGTAATCGAGCCACTGTCCTGAAGTTCTGGGAGAACTAAACCATGCAAGCAAGGACGTGGTCCTCTCTCCTATTCTTTAAACAATAGCAAGGGCAGCAAGTTAACACCTTCGGAAATAACAGGGGAAAAAGCAAGAGACAGCATTCAAAAACGATCCAAAAGTGAAACAGGTGTTAACAGTTGCTTTAAGCATGGAAAGGGATTAATCCCCCTATTACTCTACCTTGTAAGGTTTTCCTCGGGTTGTTCACTTTCTGGAAGAGAATGAAAGCACACTCCAATCTGAGCCAGGCCACAGGGCAGTCTTTTGTTCACCAGCTCTAAGCAGCTGACATACTGCTCCAGAACACCTGTCAAAAGGTAAATCCCTGAATTTAGTGGCCACTGGGAAGTTTTTTTACATTTTCAGTCTACCAACAGCAAACGTAGAACATGACACAAGTGTTGTTTGTATGTGAAGCCTCACTAGCACTGATGCTTTGCAGGGACGGGCTCATTTTTAGTGCCTTTCCCTTAACTACAGAGTGCACCCCCTGCCCACCTGTGCTGCTCAGGTCCTCGAAAAGGACAAACTCAGAGTACGCAGCCAAAAGACCTGGAAAATCCCCTTAAACGCAGCTGTTTCTCTCCCAACCAGAACCCCGTTAGCAGGACCCAGGCTGTGCGGGGCCGCCCGGGACCTACCGGGCAGAAGGCTCTCCCGCAGCACCCCCGCGGTGCCCAGCACTTGGTCCAGGGCCGGGCTGTGCCCACAGCCCTGCAGGGCGTCCCGGCAGCGTTCGGCTGCAGCAGCCTGCAGGCCCCCGCTATCGTCCCGCGGGGCTCCGGAGCGGGCCGTGGAGCGGAGCATCCACGGCGAACACCTGCCCCGCGGGGGTATGGCCGAGTCCCACCACTGCCGCCGCCAGGTTGGCGCGCAGTGGCCGCGGCCCAGCGGGCGAAGCCCCGGGTGCCTGCCCGCTGGCAGGTTAGGGCGCCAGGCAGCGGCCTTCTCGCGCGCGCAGCAAGGAACCGCCTCGCCGCCAGCACGACCTTCCAGCAGCTCCTCGCCCCGCCCCGCGCCTCCGCCCCGCCGCCGCCCGCCGCGTAGCTTGGTGCCGCGCTGCGCACCCCGGCGGCTTTCCCGCCCGCCCCGGGACGCGCCCGTTCGCCCTCGGTCTCGGGGCCGCCACCAACGCGGCGGCGGGCCGCCCAGCCGCCTAGCCCTGGCGGGCGCCCAAGCTGCCATCCTTTCCCCGCTCCCTACGGCGGCGGGCCGGGCGGCTGCGCATTGCGCACGTGACAGCGCCACCGGCCCGCCCCCGCCGGGGACCCCCGACCTTAGAGCGACCTTGGACCCGACCCTGGGCCGAGCTCGGCGCTATCCTCAAACTTCATTACCTGTGCCCAGCCCGATCTTCGCACCTTTTGTAAACGTAATGGTGCTGTGGTATAGCTTTAACAAAAGGAATTAGTGTCTTCAAGCTGGACTTCCTCGCCTTTTGTAAACGTAGCTTATGTCGTCGGGTAACTTATAATAGAAGTTGTGTAATATAGAACGTTGTGTTTTGAGCATTCAAAATCAGACAAATAAACATGCATTAGGTAGGCAGAGCATATGTAGCAGGTAGGAGGGTTGGTGTAAATTTTACTGTATAGAAGATGTCCCTTTTTAACCATATTTTTGGAAGCCTCCACCTTGCACCCTGTGCAGAATAAACGTCTTCTTTCTAAACCAAACTGTGTCTGTGTTTAGAGAGCACCTAAAATCGGCAACAAGGCCACAGCTGCCACGGGGTCACATCTCACCTTCCCCTCTCGGACACGGAGGTCCAAATCTCTGGAGGGGTTAGAAGGGGCAGTGGGGTGGGAAAGACCCTGCTGTGATGGGAACACGGGGCAGCTGCCCGGGGACATTCCAGGGGAAAAGCCCATCCCCGGGGCAGCCACAGGCCCGAGGCACAGCAAGGCAGAGCTCCTGCCAAGAGGGCGGGTGAGGCCCCTTCGCTCCTCGGGGCTCTCGAGTTCACGCTGGCAGAGCAAAGGCAGCGCAGTGGAAATTTCCATAGTCGCTGCATCACGAGTTCGCAGCGGCGCCAGGAGGAGGAGCGTGAGACGGGAACCATTCTGCGGGCTGGAGTCATGAAAGGCTCGGGCTGGGATAATCCCCGCGCCGGTTCTGCTGCTCAGCCCCCACCCCAGGACCCAGGACTGAAAAGACGCATTAGTAGGGCACTGGGTCAGCCGGAGGAGCTGCTGCTCCTGGGTGGAGAAGTATTGCAAGGCATTTTATATCTAAGGCAGATTTGCCATGAGCTCAGTTCTACCAGAGTAGCAAAGCTGTTTAGTAGAGCTCGTCTCTTTTCATCATTTTATGTGCAAATGTTATGAGTGCCCACCTGACACTTCCCCCAGATGATCGTCATTTGACAAGTAAAAAATACAAGTGGAAAGAGGCTGTTCAGGTTTTGCATCAATGTTAAAAGACCCTAATCTGTCAGTTTTAAATCACAAGCTGTAAATTTACTATTTTAATACTAAAAAACCTTTATACTGAAATTTTCAAAACTAAGCTTTCAAATGCATTTTGTTTCAGGCCACTGACCTGGAAACTTAAGGATTAAGTCATACTTCAGTGATAAGTAACCTACTTCCTTGTCTTTCGACACTGGTGGCACTGGGCAAAGGCAATGTTGCAGAGCCAATTAAAAAACTAAAGCAACACATTGCCAACTGCAGTCAGGTGGGGTAGTTTCAAGCCTCCAGCTGAAGTTCTCACAACAGCAAACGATCACAAAATACTGTCAAGAGACAGAACTCCACAGAAAAGGAGGAAACAATTATGAGGCAGATTAGGCTGTATTAAAGAACATCACAAGCTGAGCCTCAGAGGGAAACAATCACCAAGGGCTAAGCATAGACTAATCAAAAAAGATTTTAAGTGTAAAAGAAATAGTCTAACTTGGGTTTAAAGTAACCTAGAATCTTGTAGACTCAACTTGCACACATTAAGCTGTAATTAAGCATTGTTAAACTTGAAACTCATCACTGTTACTGGTAAACAAGTGAGAGGAAGGAACTGAAAGTTAGTGTTAACTGGAATTTTAATAACTGTACTTGAAAGCATTAAGCACTTTAACCCCGAGATCAAGTATTATTCCAGCTCTGCTCATCAAGGAAACGCTGTTGCTTCACTCAGCATGGGCAGTGCTTTGAGATTAGAGTCATTTGCACATATTAAAAGTCTTAAAAAAAAAAAATCCATGAGGCACATTCATGGATCAACAGCCCACTTCCCTCCGCCCGCTTCCATAAAGAAATCACTGCTCAATACCGGTTTAAGTATAATTTGAAGTTTTAATACTAAGATCTTCCCGTTTCTCTGAAGCTCAGAAGCCTGCATGCTAACTCACAAGGCCTGGCAGCTGTGGGTACACGACACTCAAGCCTGGTCTGCACATATGCTCGTGTGAAGGCGACGGTTACTGTGCTGCAGAAGCTTCCTACGCTCGTAGCAGCTCGTTAGCAACACCACTACAGAGTTTTGATCTTCTCCAAGAACTGGCCCTACGCTAGTGAGACAAGGAAGAACACTGTTTCCAACACTTTCTTAGAAGCCAGCCTAAATTTTCTTCCCCATCGAAGCAGAGCCTGCCATGCTAAGCAATCTAGCCCAATCAAGGCAAGGCTGGTTTTTGTATAAGCTTAAATGTTTAATCAGACACAGTTGAGAAACCTTTCTAGAATTTAATATAAAAACATTTTAACATTCCATTAATGTAAAGTTGTGCACATGTTGAGAAAATTGTCATCTGAAAGAAAATTCGGTCTTCAAATATCTTTATTGGAAGGCCATGCACTGCCTTCTGGTACTGTATTTCAAATCACTGTACATTTACTTTGAAAACACTGTCTGCATTTTCTAGTACAAAAAACTAAAAATTGTTTCAGGAATGTAGAGAAATATTCAACTTAAATAGCGAAAAAGTGCACCATAATTACTGCTGCACTGCAGTCATTTCTGCGTTTCCCATTTTCTTAAATAACTATCCTGGTTTTGATAACACACAATATAAAGAGCAATTATGAAAAACTGAGACATTTAAATTACACTAAGTTATTGAGAATAACTTGTGGGCATGGGGTAACCTATCATAGGAGCAGCACCAGTGGCAGGGTAGGCGTACTGCTGCTGGTTCATGCCATTGTGCATGTTGGCAATGTTGGAGCCGTACTGCTGCTCGTAGCCGTTCTGGTACGCTCCTGCGGGGTTACCGCCCGCCCTGAAGCCAGCCTGCATCCCTGCAGCTGCAAAGCCATTCCCAAAGGGAGTTCCATTGCTGAAACTCTGGGCACTGTAGGCCCCGTTCTGAGTTTTGGCTCCGAAGTCTCTCTTGCCTAGCGCGCCATAGGTTCTCTCAAAGTTCTCCCTCTCTCTAAAGCTACTAAATCCACCCCTTTTGCCCGCAGAGTATCTGTCACGGCGATCCCCTCGGGAGCGACCTAGTGAGAGAGACAAGACAGTTACATGGATTACAGAGGCTGCCCGAGTTCACCTCATCACCTTTCCTTTTCTGGCCCAGCAATGCAAATCTACTCTGAGGACAGTCACACGCTCTCCCTGTAACACAAGTGGTGGCATCCAGGCAAAATGGCACTTTCACCTTGCCAGCAGGACACTTGGGTCCATCCACCTTTCCAAACCGTGGGAGAGAAGGCCACAAAACTGAGCCCAAAAGTGTTTTATTTCTGACCAAATCAGAAGTGCCTCTTTGGCCAGCGCTAGCCATAAGTGCTCCACAGCACGACCTGGGAGCATCTGGGTGTTGTTTTTTGTTATTGCTGTTTCTAAATACCTTCTGAGGTCACCATAACTGGTAACTAAACCACCTTCCACATCCATTTTGGAGAGAGGCTGGAGGTGGAATTGGAGTTTCCTTTTTGTTCTCAGAGGAAAGCTATGCACACTTAGATCAAGAAGAGCACTTACCTGACCCTCTGTCTTCAATCAGCTGAAGCAATTTGGGGTTGATGGCTTGATTAGCCTCCCGAAGCACAGAGATGAGGTCATTTACTTGCTTAATATTGTTAGGAGTAAAGAATGTGTATGCTGTGCCTGTTTTGGTACTGCGGGCAGTTCGTCCAATTCGGTGGATATAGTCCTCTGAGGAGTTAGGGTAGTCATAATTGATGACAAATTTCACATCTTCCACATCTGTAAAGTGTTGCAGTGTGGCAAAAGGCGAAGTACAAAGTTTTGCACACCACAACAGCCAAATCGAAGATAAACATTAGACAAGAGTATTTAAAAGGGAATAATGGCTGCAAAGAACAGTGTTAGAATCATCCATTTCTGCAAGAGTATTGTGGAAGAGAAAGTAATGCACACTCCGTCTGATCCCGTCTCATCACCCACCCTGTGAGCCAAAACCTTACCATAAGGAGTATGCATTTGCTTGTCATTCCCAACTCAAGAGTCCCCTTTACAAATCATCAAGTGACATCTGAAAGCTTCTTTGCAGTAGGGCCACTAAATCTCACAGCAGCCTCTTCATGTGCTCATTTGAGGACCTTAGAGTAAAAACATACAAGGTCCTTCACATACACACTCATTAGAAGCTCAAAAAAAAAATGGGCCACACTGCTCGTCTTGCCAAGACCTTTGAACCGCAGCTGCAAGAAAAACATACCTGTCCCCCCAAAGTCACCAAGTTGTTTTTATGCACTGTGTCTCGTCTAGGCAAGCGCTTCCAAGAAGCCAGGGTTCACTTGAGAATGTGTCTCTCTCTGGCAGGTCTCGACATGACGACTATGTATAGGTGGAGGAACTCCGACTTTCAAAGGCATTGAAAAGCCATTGCTTTCCTGCCCCACTTGTTAAAGTGAGAGGTGGACTTTTATTCTCAGATTTCATGTGCCAGTACTCACCAATTTGCACAAGGCTTAGTACGTTTTAAAGCTGCTCTCTCCATTTTCATGGTTGAAAAAAATTTCATTGAACATTGAAGTTTAAAATTATGTCCTTCAACATTTCAAAAAAACTCACTGAAATTCAAAGACCCACAGATCACAGCAAACAGTATGCACAAAACTAACAGTACTGCACCATGGCAAATCATGCAAAGCATGGAGAGAAGAGAAATACCAGGGCAAAGTGAACTGTGAATGAAACTGCTTATTTCATGAGAGAACAGTTTATGGGGTAGTAGTTTAAAGGATGATCTTTGCCTTTTGAAGATTACTGGCACA